GTCAGCATGCCACAGGGAAGATGAAAGGTATTGGTCGATCCTTCCCAAAAGAATATTGAAGCCAGCAACATGCATGGATTGTATTTGGGGCCAGTTCTAGACAGATTGACCATGTTGTAGATACCCACTTTCTCTAGGTGATTCTTCTTCTTGATTTGAACCTTGTTGAGCCACACCAAATACTCTTTGGTTAGAGTTGGCAGAGCAGATCGAAACACATGGTTAGGTTTAACCATGAAAGACAGGTTAAAAGGACGTTGCTCAAAGGAAGACGACATGGTGAATAGGTAACCTGGGAAAAGGTTAGAAGTCTTTATAGCTTGTGACCTCTTGGTGGATAAGGCCCTGAGAAAGCATACAGTTTGTCATCTAGGGAATAATGGTTCATCATTTGTTTTTGCCAAATAGCAATTTTGTTATTCTCAAAGGAGTGCTCAGGTATATAATCCTTTGATTCTTCACACTCATTAGGAGGAATGATGAAAGCAAGATAATTATTCCCAGTAACAAACTTAGAAGACCCTTGGCTAGTAGACATGGTGAAAAAAGAGAGTTTTTCTATAGAAAATGGTGAAAAGAGGGTTTTGGAGCTCCGTGCAAAAAGAAAGAGAACAAGAAGACAAATTAGAGGAAAGGAAAAATGAGCTGAAAAAGAGTATTTATAGGCTTCAGTGCATATGTTGGATCAGACAACTAGCATCCGCGTGGGAATAATTGAAGGGTTTTTGTGGGTTTTCGAAGCACTGCATTAATGGAGAGTGGAAGCAATTATGGAAACATGAAAATCCACGTCTTCCTAGGAAGTAGGAGTGATGATGAGATTCTGATTGAATCTCATGGAAAATGACAACACACCGTAAAAGAGAAATGATGATGACGTCAGCAAAAGTGAAACGACGTTGAAAAATTGAGATAAAAAAGGCCACGTGCCTCTTGTTGATACAAATCGAAACATGGCCTTTTGGGGGCAATTTGTTAAACTAGATTCTTCAACATGGCTATAAATGGAAAGAACTCATGAGAATATCCATAAAGACGCCACGTGGAAGGTCAAAATAAAGTGAGTCTGCATGATCAATATAACTCAAGGTCGGAGATCACATAAGGTGATACTGGTCGAAGGTGGCAAGGCCGAAATATGTGATGAGGAACTTAGAGACTTAGTGAAATTGAATACTATGTTATGTTGGTTAAGGTTGAATTTCATCACTACAATGAAAGTAATGTTGACTCGGTCACCACATGTGGAGCCCATCACTATAATGGAAACAATGTTGACTTGGATGCTACATGTGGAGTTCATCACTACAATGGACAATACGATGGAGCATGCTATCTTAACATGGTCGATGTTGAAGGCCTCAACGAGGATTTTCAGTTCTTGGCGCCTAGAAGAGCAGTTTAGAAATTCAAATGATATCACAAGGCAGGAATTGTGTCAACACCGATGGTTAGTTAGAGGAATGTGGGGGAACTTTAAGGGAAATTGCTACATGGATATGGGACATGTCACCATGGGAGTGACCTGCCACTCTTAGACAGTTTACATAGAGTAGTATATAAGGACCATTAGGTTCATTTTGTAAAGGGTTCGCAGTTGTACACACATTTCTGTAAACTCAAAGTGTATGCGTCTTGAGAAACGAGTGAAGGAAAGATGTACGTATGCGTTCCACCATTTTATATATTTCTAGTATTTTTATCTTAAGTCCTTTTATGCATTAAAGTCTTTTCGACTTCCCTTACTTTTCTTGCCAATTTACATTACTTTCACTTTAAGTTCAACCCTTTTCTTTTCCTGCATTTTGTCTTTTGACTTCAAAGCCTTTTCTTTCAAAGTCTTTTCTTCACTTTAATATCAGCACTTTTGTTCTCTGAACATTTTCCTTATTTTACAAGTAATCAGAACCAACATTTCAAATATTTTTTACAATGTTATGATTTTCACGAGTAATAGGCACACAAATATGTCTGGGAATTTTTGAGTTTTATCCCTTAAGTATTAGTCGAAACTTGTATTTCTTTACCAAATTTAACAAGAAACAGTGATAATGATAATGACCATATTTTTCCCTATTCTTTCCTAGGACACAAATGATTGTCAATGGAGGCTAGTAATGAAAAATGTAAGGGTGTATAAGATTTAAAAGTCCTTAACCTTACTGAGGATATTATGGCATTGTTTCATAAAATCTTGGATCTGTTTACAATTGGTGATAAAAGAGATGTCATATTGGATTTCTGCACCGAAGATGAAAGGGTTAACATGGCGGCACCTCTTGGATCAAAGGGTGAGTTCTTCCATGTTCATCTCCCTATAATATATGATTCAGGGGTAAGAATTTTGCTCTATTTATTTGAGATGAGGTCCTTATAACCATCAATGACTCCCCTCTCAAATACAACTGAACGACTGAGCTTTCATTAGAGGCTTTGAGATCATATCTAAGCATTTAGAGATCATGTTAATAGTAGGAACCTTTTTTTTCATTCTATGGTACTAGAAATGTAGACAAAGGTAGTTGGGTATCCATAGGCATGCTAACTTAGAGTGTTTTGTCACCTCAAATTCATCTAAATATATAAATTAGAAATATAGATTTATGAGGGTACATGGAAAGGTGAACTCTCCGTGGTTTTCTTTGAGAAGACCGATGAGCACCAAATTCTTTTGCATTGGGAAGACAACTTGATGCAAATAAATCGTTCAAGTCATGAAATCTTAAGCAAGACGTAAAGAAAGGTCGTCGAGCTATTGGAATAGTTCTACATCATGAGCGCAATCGTCATGGAATATGACTAAAGTGCTGATGGAGATACGAAGATTGATGATTATTTGAGTTAAGTATTATACATATTTAAATGTGATGTTTGGTGTGATTATTTTATTTTACTTTTTCTTTCTCTTTTTGTAGAGAGGATGGACCCATGACTATTGCTAAAGAAAAGCGATCTTCATGTGAAGAAAAGAGTTGAATAAGGCGAGGCATGGTCTAATGGCCCTAAGAAAAGTCATGTGAGTTTGATAACCCGAGGCAAAAGGAAAATGGTGGAAAAGGAAACTATAATCACCGTCACGCTTCAGATTGTTGTCAAGTCGGGGGGAAGGCGAGGTGAATCCTTCTCTAGACTAGGCTAAGAATCACAAGGTCACTAGGGACAAAGATTCCATAGACGTGGATGTTGAAAAATCCATCAATCTTAAGGGAGATTTGTTCCACAAAACTTCTTCATCAGCTCCTTCAAGGAGCAAGGTTATGTCATCTCTTTGGAGCAGAGATTTTTACGCCATCACTTTAGTTCACGAGCATATCAATTTCCACACCATTTTTCTAATAACTAGAAAATGATGAGGCACTTAGGAGCCAATAAAATATCTAAATTGGTGGAGGCTCGTCTGCTAAAAGTCTCTTTTTGAGTAGTTAATGTTTGACGCATATGACCATTTAGACACTTATGTGGTGAGACTTGGGATGAAGTTGGATACTTTAACGAAAAAGCTTATACATACTAAAAAATCAGTGACTTGGACAAAAAATGATCTTGACGAGGCGCAACGTTCAGTTAACAAGTTAAAAAAGGTGCAAAAGGAGAAGGATGACCCTTACAAAAAGTTAGACAGCACCGACAAGAAGTTAGATGAAAAGGTCGATGCCTTTGAGATTCTGCCAAGAAAGAAGCCCCTTAGAAGAATAATTAGGTAATAGTCATACTCAATTTTAACTGATTCACAGAGTCCCACAACTTTTATGAATCTACGCGGACTTGAAAAAATCTTATTGGTCCAAAGGAATTAAGTTGATTTTAAATTTAACTACTTGCCGTTTTAAACTAAGAATATTTTGTATGAACAACTCCAGAGTAGTACATTACAACATAAAATATTGCTAAGTTATGGTTGACCATAAACCACACAATTAGTTATGTACTTTACTTAGGACGCCACCCAATAATTGTTTTAACCAAATTTTCCAAACTTTTCAAACCCACTTCTAATTCAACCACATTTTGCAGCAAACACTATCATAAAAAAAAATAAAAAAAATAAAAAAGACAAACAACCGACACACATGATTCACCTCTACCCAACCAACAATCTACGTGTGAGGAAAGTTTTCCTCATCTCTCAATCCTAAGACCAACTCCAACGGTGATTTTTCAAATTGGTTTGCCAGCTTGGCATTGAAAATGTCAACAAAATGTTATTCCAGCTGTAGAACGTTACAAACATAAGCAACGGTTCTTCATTTGGTTTATTATTAAAATTATCATTTAGCTTTATTTTATTTTTTTAACTTTTTTATTTATTATAAATATAGGTTTGTTGGAAAAAATTTATATCATTCCTATTTTCTCTCCTTTTTATTCCTATTTGCTCTCCTTTTTATTTGCTCTTTAATTTCAAATTTCTCTCTCACAATTTCATCATTTTATTCATAAATATTTAATTTTTTTTCCAACAATTTCTTCTCATTATCATTTTATTTCAAATTTTCATCTTTTTATTTCAAATTACATTTGTTTAGGCCAAATTTTCATCTTTTTATTTCAAATTACATTTGTTTATGTGATGTTATTTATTTTTATTGTTTTTAATTATGTGATGTTATTTATTTTTATTGTTTTTAATTATGTGACATGTATTTAAATTTAATTTTAATTATTATTTTCAATTTTATGTTTAACTTTAATTTTATGTTTAATTTGTATTTATATTAATTAAAATTTAAATATTTAAATTATAATTTTAAATAAAATAAATTTAATATAAATAATATATTTTAAATAAAGTGGTGGGACCCAATATGAGTTCTTTGAAGTTGCACCATTGGAGTAAAAATTAAATGAATTGCTTTAAAAGAGTGGGTCCCACAAAGAACCCAAAAATGGGTTGCACCATTGGAGGTGCTCTAAGTGTCGTGTTCTTCTATGCTATCTTCTCTTACACCATCTATCTACTCTCCACAACACTCCCACATCCATTTTGAGAAATTCTTGTGATGACAGAAATCACAAATCTCAGCTTAGACCTCATAGAATCTATCCTATCTCATCTCCCAATCCCATCTTTGATCCAAGCTTCAACCGTTTGCAAACTATGGCACACAATAATCTCATCATCTACCTTTTCTTCACTCCACAAACATCAACACAAACCTTGGTTTTTCCTCCATGGTATCCACAACATCTCTTCCAAAAACAATCAATCTTTTGCCTTTGACCCTTCTTCTAACTCTTGGTTCCTTCTTCCTACACCTCAACAGCCTCTTCATTACCCCAACAACACTTCCTTCATTGGTACTTCATCTTTCTTCTTCATCACTGCTCCTAACTTTGTTTACACTCCTATTCTTCATCCTCTTGTTTGGTTTTCTACTCCACCTCTCCATTTCCCTCGGATCAATCCTCTTTTGGGTGTTTTCAATGATGGGTCTTCCGTGAAGTTTATTGTTGTTGGTGGTGTTAGGTTCATTGGTAATCTTGTTGATATAGAGGATCGTTTGGATGTTGAAATCTATGACCCTCTTTTGGGTTCTTGGGATTTAGCTCATCCTCTTCCTGCGGATTTCAGATCTGGAAACTCGTCCTCTTCACTTTCCTCGGCTTTGTTCAAAGGGAGATTCTATGTTTTCGGGATTTATTCATGTTTTGTTTCTTCCTTTGATTTGGAACTTCGTGTTTGGGGTGATGTTAGGGTTGTTAGGCCTTCTGGGGTTGTGTTTTCTTTCTTGATTTCTTGTAGGGAAAGTCTTGTTTTGGCTGGGGTTTGTAATTCTCCAAGTGGGTATAGCTTCACTTTGTGGGAGGTTGATGAGATGAGTATGGAGATTTGTGAGATTTCTGTTATGCCTCCTGATTTGCTTTGTAGTTTGTTTGATGGTGATGAGGAGGATAGGTTTGCTAGCTTGAAGTGTGTTGGGTTGGGGGATCTTATATATGTTTTCAATGAGGATTATCATAGGATGTACCCGGCTTGTGTTTGCGAGATTCGCGGTGGTCGTCGTGGTGGTGAGAATAGTGAGTGTTATTGGAGGAGGGTGCCTCAATTGCCATCATTGATGAATAGGTTTCACAAAGTTGTTAGCTTTTGTTCAAATGTTTCATTGCATAGCATTCTGGGTGAACGGCAACACCATGGAATTCATTAAGCTCTCTGCGAGGTATCCACTGAACACTGAATTTGATTGTGATCTGTTTTGAATGTGATTGTGTGTTTGTATACTTTTATCATATGAAATTAATTGCTATCCCAATTATGTTCTGTTTTGAAATCCTGCCTGTGTTAGCATTGTTATGTCCCAAGTCCTGCCTATGTTAGCATTGTTAAGTCCCAAATCCTGACAACTAACATAAAATTTTGTCCAATCTCTTTGACATTGATCAACTATATAATTATGTTCGGTTTTGAATGTGATCGTGTATGAATACTTTGGTTAACTTTACTTACTAAGTTAAGTGTTTGGTTTAGAATTAGAAATGATTGATAAAATAGTGAGGTAATGTTTTAAGACTTGTGTTTCTGGTGTGGTGGAGAGAGACCGGCCTACAAGATTAGCAATTTAATATTCAAGTCAGTGTTTCTGGTGCGGTGGAGAGAGACCGGCCTACAAGATTAGCAATTTAATATTCAAGTCAGTGAGGGAATAAGGAGAAAAGAGTGAGGGAGAGTGGATTTGAATATCTAAATGACATTTTTTTCCTTCATATAGTGAAGCTCTTGTAGCAACTGAGCTATATTTCATACTTAGCATACTTAGCTTTCTATGTAAATTGATTACCATTACTACTTTCATTTTACAATGTTGATGAATCTAACAAACACTGGTATTTTGTGATTTACAGCAAAAACAAAGGAAATAATCAGTGCTAAAAGAAGGTTCGGTTAGAAGAATGATTTGGTGAAGAAGTTAGTATGTTGGTGCGGCTGCACAACTGTACCTAAGGCATGCGCATTATTCACATAAAATAAATATGAGCAGCTGTAATAAATATGCAATAAATTGATAACTAAAATATTTTGTCTATGTATTGTTTACCTAATCATAAAGCATGGATAAATCCTTGACTTTTTTTTCATGTGTTATAGTGGACCACATTAATGTGGATTATTCAATTTAATGTCAATGTCAATGTCAATGGACCAGTTAGCCTTTGAATTTATCACGCGTGTTAGAAGTTGAGTGTTTTAAATTAAAATTTAATGGTGATTGTCACAATGTTAGCTTCTACATGGTATTCAAATTCAAACAAATTTAAATTAAAATTACAAATGTGTTTGAATTTTCTCTTTTATAAAATTGTTTATGGATTAGATTTTAAATTGATTTTTTAAAATATCAATGTATTTTATGTTGGAAATTCACCTCATATTCTGAAAAATAGATTGATGAACAAACCTACAATATGATAGTAATGGTGATAACAAGTAAAGAGTTATCAAGAATAGCAAAAGAGAAGAAGAATAACAAACAAACAAAAATAAAGAGAAGAATGAGAGAAGAAATATTTGGAGAAAATTGTGTTACCCACAAACTGTGGAATTTCTGATTACTATTGAACTTTCACTTGCTAAACTCTGCAACTATGAAATCTGTTCTATTTGATTACAAAGCAAGACACCTATTTATAGTTTTAGGTTTACAAAAGTCCAAAACATAAACGGCCCAAAATATTCAAAATCAAATCTAATCTAAATCATATCAAATTTCATCAAAACAAATCTGTGTCAAAACAAACTGTTTCGACACATTATGAATTACATTTAGCACACCACCTAATTCATTGTGTCTAAACTGTCTACATTCATCATGACTCTTAGTCTTCTGAAGGCTTCGACCTGCACTCCATTCGTCATGATATCTGCAATCTGATTCTCAGTTCTGCAGTGTTCCAACTTCATCTTCCTTTGAATCCTTCGACAATTGCAATTTGGGCTCAGCTGGAGTCGAAGTTTGGTTGCAATCTTGCATCTCAAATCTCTTGAGTATTTCGCCTGCATATCTTCTTTGATGCATCATCAAACCTCTACTTGTCTTGTAGAATTCGATGCCAAGAAAATATGAGAGATTTCCCAAGTCTGACATTTCAAACTCCTTACTCAGGTCATGTTTGAAATCTTCGATCTCCATGCTATTAACAAATCATCAACATAGAGACATAGTATAAGCAATTCGCCATTGCTTCTTCTTACATATACTCCATGCTCAGTTGTACACTTCACAAATTCCTTCTCCCTTAAGAAGCTGTCGATTTTCTTATTCCAAGCTCTTGGAGCTTGCTTAAGTCCATACAGGGCTTTATGAAGCCTGTACATCTTTCTTTCTTCGCCTTGTTTCACAGACCCAGCTGGTTGTCCAACATAAACTTCTTCGTCTAAGGGGCCATTAAGGAATGCACATTTCACGTCCATCTGACATGTGTGCCAGTTGTTCATATTTGCTAGACCAACAACCAACCTGATTGTTTCGATTCTAGCAACAGGTGTGAATACTTCATCGAAGTCGATTTCTTCCTTCTGAAGAAATCCTTTCGCCACAAGTCTCGCCTTGTGTTGAGTTACTTCTCCATTAGAATTTACCTTCACCTTGTAAACCCACTTCACATCAATTGCCTTCTTGCCTTGTGGCAATTCGACAAGTGACCAGGTATCATTGACTTCGATGGACTCCAACTCTTCAGTCATTGCTTTCACCCACTTCGAATCTTTCAATGCCTCAGCTGCATTGACTGGTTCGACATCTGCGTAGAAAGCATAATGTACCAGCTCACCCTCTTCATCGACTACATCATCTGATGTAATTACACATTCTTGCAACCTTGCAGGCATGCGTCTTGTTCGTCGATGTCTGCTTGAACCTGCTTCATCTGCAACTGTTTCCTGTCAAACTTCTATTTCGACTTCAGTGGCTGGTTCTTCACAAGAGATTCTCACTGAATCCTTCTTGGAATTCTCAGTCCAATCCCATTCTTTAAGCTCATCTATGATCACGTCCTTGCTGATCACTACCTGCTTATTCATTGGGTTGAACAACTTGTAACCTCCTGTCGAATGATATCCTATCAAGATCATCTGATTCGACTTATCATCAAGCTTCCTTCTCAACTGATATGGCACATGTCTATGTGCTATAGATCCAAACACCTTTAAGTGACTGAGACTAGGCTTGACACCAGACCAACATTCTTCTGGTGTGATTCCTTCAAGCTTCTTCGTCGAGCATCTCTTCAATATATATGTTGCTGTCGAAACTGCTTCTCCCCATAATTCTTTGGGTAGATGCTTCCCATTCAACATACTTCTTACCATATTCATGATGGTTCTGTTCTTGCGTTTTGTAATCCCATTTTGCTGTGGAGTGTAGGGTGGCACCACCTCATGCACAATCCCTTCTTTTACACATAGTGTATCGAACTCTTTAGACACATACTCTTCACCACCATCAGTCCTCAGAATTTTTAGCTTTCGACCACTCTGTCTTTCGACCATGGACTTGAATATGGAAAATACCTCAATCACATCACTTTTCTTCTTGATGAGGTAAGTCCACAACTTTCGACTGTAATCATCTATAAACGTGAAAAAGTATCTATTGCCACCAATCGAATACACCTGAATTGGACCGCATACATAAGAGTATATGACTTCAAGTATTACCTTCGACTTCCTTCCTGCATCCTTGCTGAAGCTATTCTTGTGTTGTTTTGACTGAACACACTCCTCACAGACTTCCCTTGGAATGTCGATTTCTGGTAATCCTGAAACCATATTTCTTCTCTTTAGTTCTCTGATGTCATTCAAGTTGAGATGACCTAGTCGAAAATGCCATAACCACTCATCTCTGCTGGCTGTAGTTGCTAGACACTTGTGCTCCATCACATTGAGTTCAATCTTGAAGGTCCTATTCTGAGACATTGGAGCCTTCAAGATTAATCTATCACCTGCGTCGAGAACTCTCATCATCTTGTCTTCGACAACTATTTTGTAGTTGTTTTCGACAAGCTGCTATATACTGAGCAAATTACTCTTCATGCCTGATATGTACAACACATTGGAAATTGTTGACCCTTTTCCATCTTTCCTCATAATCATAACATCACCAACACCTTCAGCTACTAGAGTGTTGTCATTTGCAAACTTCACTGTGTTCTTCAACGAGGGCTTCATGTTGACAAACCAATCTTTCCTTCCAGTTATGTGTGATGAGCATCCTGAGTCCAAGTACCACTGATCTTGGAATATTTCTTCATCTTTTGTTGTGACCATTAGCAACGTTTCTTCTTCTTCATGTTTCACCAGCTTTGCATCAGTCCCTTGATTTCTCTTCCTTTCTGCACAATCACTAACATAATGACCATACTTCTGGCAATTGAAACATTGAATATGGATTTTGTCTGTCTTTCTACCACCACCTCTTACTTTACCTGCAGCACCACCTCTTTGGTTGCCTTGGTTCCAAGGTTTCTTCTGATTTGACTGTTTTCCTCCTTTGTGGCCATTCCAGCTACCTTTGCCTTTTCTTTCCTTTTCTGACTGCGCCTGCAAAGCCATATCTTTCGATTTTCCTACAGCTCTCTCCGCCATCCTCTGTTCATGAGACTCAAGAGTCCCTTGAAGCACTTCCTTCGTCAACACTGACAGATCTTTCGACTCTTCTATAGAAACTACCACGTGGTCGAATTTTAGAGCCAACAATCTCAAAATCTTTGAGGCAACTGCTTTCGTCGTCAGCGCTTCTCCACATACTTTGATTTGATTCACCAACTTTGTAACTCTGGTAAAGAAATCTGTAATGCTTTCGTTGTCTTCCATCAGAAGCAACTCATAGGTTCTCTTGTGAGTTTGTAACCTCACCTCTTTCACCTTCTCTGCACCTCCAAATGACTTTTCAAGAATCTCCCATGCTTCTTTTGCTAAATCAACATCACTAACCTTTTCAAATTTATCAGGATCAACACACTGATGAATTATAAAGAGTGCTTTATAATCCTTCTTCAATTCTTTGTGCGCAGCCTTTTCCGCCTCCGTTGCGTTCTCCCCAAGCGATGTTACTCCGTCCTTCACAAGATCCTAAAGATCTTGATAACAGAAAATTACCGTAATCTGCTTGCACCAATTCTCATGATTGTCTTTCTTGAGAATTGGCAGGGT